GAACGGCAATGTAAAAAACCGATGCAAATCGGAAAATATTTATGCGAAAAAATCCCTTTAGTTAATCGAAGCCCATACATTCAGGCTTGTACATTTACAGCCTCTCGATGACAGCGGATGTATCGCAAATTTATAAACAATTTCACAAAGACCTACATTTCGAACTGAAACTGCACATTTTGCCAAGTTTTATTATGTAATATTGTATAAACCGCAATCCAATTAAATCGACGTTTGCATAATTGAACATAGACGACTGCTTAAATTATTGGCAGGAACATTGTTTTTAATTATATAAAAATATAGTTTAATTCAGCAGTATTAGAAAAGCTGCAAAATAAATAAAACAGATTTTTCAGTTTACACGGTAACTCCGGTTGGAATTTCCCCAAAACAAAACCACTGTTCAGCATTACACAAATTACTAAACTGTGTTTGTGGGTTTAAACGTGACAGTGGAACATTATGTGTGAAAAATTACTACTGGTAGATGTACATAATGTCCAATCTACTTAATGAAATGGGTAGGATTTACCTCATGATGATAGTAGCGTACTTCAATGCATATAGTTCAATAACAACCCTTATTTATACGAATTTTGGCTGATATTGCAACGGTTCTAACAGAAATAAACTACGTGTTAGATGGTACTTTTATTTACTGTGGACCAGTGTTAATTTTAATACCACTATCCCGACAATGCATTTAAAATTTGGAATGATGTCGAAAACTAAATAGAGTACTTTCCTACCGCTTTATGCTCTGTTTAATTCCACAAGTCCAACATCATCAAGATATCAAATTTAATTTGCACGGTTTTAATTAAAATTATGCAAAATGCGCCAATAACAATGTCGATCATAGCAGGGTGAATTATTATTTTAAATTGAAATGTCTCCAACACCGTCGCGTTTTTTTTTTAATTATCTGGATTGAACACATTTGATAAGCACTGAATGCACAAAAATGATTCCTGATTTTTCGATTGTTGGATGGCAATTGTTCATGAATTTCCTGCATAAAACCTCGGAAAACGAGCTGTTAAAGATTAACAAAAAATAATATATTTGAACTGAATAATTTTCGTTGTCGGTGGCACGAGAACTCTACTCGGCATATTATATGTTGTATGGAAAATTAAGTAATGAACTATTTAACTTTGGTTTGTCTAGAAAATGTTGCTTGCTGTGCACTTATCAGAAGCCTGTACTTTGCATAAATGGCCGGTGTGTAACGAGCTTTTCCCTGGGGACTTTTTATACCGCGAATATTTAAACTTTGATAAAAACGCTTTGATAAATTTGTCGCAGTTTACGTAAATGCATTGCTTTCCGAAAAATTAACTTTTTCTATCTGGAATTTGAAGAAATAAAGTACAAAATTTCAAAAAGAAAAACCTACGTGGAAGTTTATACTGGGTAAATTAAACATTTTTCAATTTCATTACAACGCTTAACATAAATCGGTAATAAGTATTATTCCTCTCTTCGATCAACTCAAGCTGGAACTTTCTAATCTTAGAACCTAATCTCAGAGCTAACGTAACTGCTTACTATGCACATAATAATTAGTTATTCCTAACGATGTGTGATAAATCGTATCTTTTTTCAGATGCAACTTGAATTTTTGAATTCAATTGAGCTGCGGTGCAATGTTGCTTTTCTTACCCTTTCGTCGATTGTCGTTCTTTGTATAGATTGTCCAAGACATTATGGTTAAACCAACATTTCAGATGTGGAATTTAGAGCGAGTCTGTCTTTTCTGCTATTGTGAATTTCCTTTCGGTTTAGTTTGTTGATTCTGAATTGTGGCAGACTCCAAATAGCACAAATAATACAATGAATGAGATGGCGATTTGGTATCAGTGGCGGATCTAACCGAATAAACAGCGGACTTAGAACAGCTCATGGAAAAATCAGGAAAAAGCTTTGAATTTTGTTTGGGATTTCAGAGGTTTTATTTGAAGCCATTGGTGGCATCTAAATTGCTATTAACCGCTTTCGATTCAATGTGCTTTTGCTTGCTGGACTTTGAAGACCCGTTTTCGCGAGAATTCAATCACTTAAGGGACTTTAACAGAAGGAACATTAACATGTGTACAATTAAATTGGAAAACAAACTCATTATTTCGTTTCAGTTAGGATGCTTGTATGTAACCTGAAGTCATTTCCATCAAATTTCTTACTAAAGGTGACAATTTTACACCCGCTGATAAAGTTTAAATAATGTAAATGACAAAGGTAATTTACACTAGTGGACAAAACACAAAAACCAGACTTTATTAATATGGCGACTCCCAATCTCGCTTTGTTATGGTAATCGAATGCAAATTTTTTGCTTGCACAAGAGATAATAACAATTTATGTAACATGAATTTTGTGGCAACATTTGAGGGTCGCACCAGATTTTAACAACTAATTGTTTTTGTCAATTACACACATATTAATTTAACAAATTTGAGTGCACTTTTTCCTAAAATTACGTATATCATGCGCAAAGTTAATGAGATCTATTTGAACCATGAACAAAAAATGATTCTGTCTGGTTATGAAGAACGCCCTCGTTTGGAAAACCAAATCTTTCATACGTATAATGATCATGAAAATATGGTAAAGGTTAAATCGAGGCAACCCTTGTGTATTGTGATTCGCACATTTTTGATGCAAAATAAAGAAAAATGGCACAAAAAAACCTGCTTTTTTGGCGTTTCATTCGGCTTGATGTATTGCTGCTATCGTGAAATAACGAAAACGGTTTGATGCATGGTTTCGGAAATTCAACTTCAAATCAGCGATAAACTTGATTTCCTCGCACGTTTCATGTCTTTTCTTATTTATGCTGAATATTTACATCCGAATTTTAAATCCAACTTGGCTAAAGTCTGCTCATTATTGCTTATGTCTGTTCAAGCTTTAGGACAATTGAGTCGTTTGTTTCGTCCATAATCCTTTTAGAAAAATGAGAAAAACATTCGCTAAAATGCACAGGCTAAATCACAAAACATCCGATTTTTCCAGGCTCTGTTTCAATTCCGGACAATTTGTTCCAAATTGCACGAACTTGTGTTGCTATTTTAACTTCTTTTTGTAGTTGATTTAGTTTAAGTGTTTTCCGAACATCGACGGATTTGAAAATGAGACTCAATCCATCGGAACCTTTCTCAATTGGAATTTGTGACAATCATATTTATTGTAATTGCAACAATTATCGCCCCTCAACGACGAGCAGTTTTATTGGTATTAACGTCAATGGCATTACAATAAAGTGTAAAGAAAAATATTTTTTTATATCGTTTCCGACTGTTATCGTAATTCTGCTGAAAATTATATTGCGCATATGAAAATGAAATATTTCTCCCATTTTCCTGCCGAAAGTCATGATCTAGCAAAATAGGCACACAAGAGAAAGCCCCCTTACCTCTGTCACAAAGAGGGGTCTTTAGTAATTTTCCGTACCTCGGTGCAAAATAGACTCCAGATTATTTTTTTTTGCAAATGCACGCAGAAATTGAAGAAGCTAAATTTAGTCGACGTTGCATAATGATGCGATAAATGGTAATTATTCAAATTCTTGGACACTTGAGATTTTTATTGGAAATCTTTAAAATATAAAATTTTTGATGAGGCAATGTTCACAAAACGTTCACATAAATAAAGGTATTCTTGTAATTTGGCAAAAAAGGTAAGCTGTCTTGCCAAATATAATAGCAACTTGTCAATAGAATAATCAGTTGTATATGATCTGGTATCTAATCTATTTATCACATTTTGATTTAAATTATAACTATAAGAACTGTTTTGATATTGGATTTCAAAAGCTAAATGTGTCAATTAAACGAAACATTAAATATTTGAATATAAAATCACTAATATCTTGATCCTTAGAAGCCTAATCCCTTTCTGGTATCGTAAATTTCTCGAAATTTGTTGCGAAAAATCCTGCATTAAGATCCCGGTCCAACTTTGTACATTATTCTATACCCCGTTCTTTGACAGAAAATTCAGTGTCTGGTTTGGCTTCTTTTGTGTGCCCTACAATGGCAGAGCCGAGCCTTAAATTATGAATGAACCGAAATCCTTAAGGCCGTTTGAGTAGTCTGAAAGTTCGAGTGACAGACTCATTCCAGCATAAATTTACACTTAGCAGAACGAATACGATTTAACAAATATACTTATTTTAACTATTTTGTGTTTAACAATGCCGGTAACTTCCTACATATTTTTGGCACGTTTAGCAGATGAATTATAATTAAGTGAAATTCTGGTAAATAATTTAGTTCTTGAAATGTTTCGTTTTTTGAGTTGCTCAACATTGCAGAAAACATAGGAAATATCGATGAAAGTATCGAATACCACAATTAAATTTCATTTTTACTACTATATTTAGCCGACAATTGCATTTAAATTGCTGTATTTTCAATACATCAGTTGTTACTATTTAATGTACTAAAAATTGATTCAGTAGGTATCAATTAATCTAAAATTGCACAATTTTATCAAAGTGGTGAAATGCATTTTTTGTCAGAATTTTAATTGTCGGGCAATAAATCGAGATTACAGTCGTTTGCAGCATTCGGTATTAGACGAAATAATTAGTAAAATATGTCTGCTTCTGTTTACTTATCAAGATAGATTACATAGCCAGATTAACGATGTTATTAATTATGGTGCGTCATAATCACTCGATTTCACAAAACGTATGCAATTAATAATTTGCTAATTATGTTAAAAGTTGCAAAGTTTAATTAATGCATGTGCGTGATGTGCAAGCATAGAGTGGTTGAATATATAAATAATTCATCTATAAGCAACATCAAATGGGAGTTTTGGATTAAATAGCCCTATATTTAATGGCACATTCCAATTTGATGGATGTCGTTACTTCATTAATATAAGATGCTTTGGGTGCACTTTGTTAATAAGCATAGGTTTATTAGTTCATTTTAGGTCATATATCGAATTTACATTGAATTTTTAATAAATATTTCGTCCTATTCCAGGCTCTTCTGCAAGCCCACGACGTAGTCGCCCATGAAGTTTATGGAGAAGATGCCATCCGCGTCACGCCACCTCCCCTTTTACCCTATCTTAATGGCGGAGACGAATTGGACGGACCCAATGGAGAAGTGGAAATGGAAAATGTCACCAGGGTACGCTTGGTGCAGTTCCAGAAAAACACTGATGAACCAATGGTAAGCAGCCGGGTACTTAAGCAGATGGTCGCGGCTTTTCTCAGTTAAAAAAAATGTAACAAATTAAATTATCGCACATTTCGTGACTTATACGTATATAAATATAAAATGTATAATAATAAAATTCTTATACATTTTCACAAGAATCACTTTCTATCCGAGAAGCTTTTGGTGTGTACGAATGTTAAAATGTTGCAATCTTCTTGAAAATTCATAAATCTGCGCTTCACATACTCACTAAATAACCTGTATACCCTACTAAATAATGCAATGTGGCTAATAAATAACCTACCCAAATTTTTCCAGCAAACCTTTTTAATTCGAAAGGGCATTGCAGGCCCCCATTTGTAATGGCTCTTTTTGAAGCTATTAAATTCTTGAAAATTGTGTGCGATACTATTAACTTACAAAACATTCGCTCGCTCAGTTATTGAATTATCAAACTAAAAAGACGATAATAATTTAGAGTTGTTTAATTTTTGCCATTTTACCTGGAATTATACATTTAGTCACTGCTATTTTTTCCGATTTCCATCCCAATGTGATAGAGTGTATAGCATTTTTAAACAGCTTTAAAATGAGCTGTTAAAATCGGCGATTGCAATTTTAAATTGCAAAAGGTTGCATGAATAAGTTATAGTTGGTTTTTCACAATACATCAATCGAGCGGCAGGCGTTTTACAGTTTGGTTAAGGTTCATTTATTTTATGAATTTTCTTTTTTTACCCAGTCACATTGTAAAAATTTCAGTTCAGAAAACTTTTTAATGGGGAATATTAGTAATTTTACATGATATCTGAATTTGGTCTAATTTCGCAGTATAAACAAGCAATTAATTTTCCCAGGCTTGTGTGATATAAATTTCGTAATCCTAAAATAAAACCAGTGTGTAGATTGTAGCTACGTAGCTACTTCTATTACGGTACTTTCCCTATTCATTCGTAAGTTCGGACCTAACTTTTGTTCCAGTATAGACATTTGAATAGTTAATTCTCTGGAAATTCATTAATCATTGATAAAGGAGCAACTCGAATTATCGAGAGATATTAAAATATGGTCCATAGTTTGACGTCCGCAGGCACAGTTAATGTTTGCGTCCGCATTTATTCTCGTTCTTCGTCTTCACTTCAAACAGCTCGCATCCTTAGGCGCTTTAAAAAAATTCACGTTTTCTAATTCAGCTTATGAACTTTTTTGATGAGGTCGGAAGTATTTACAGGGACTGGATTTTGAACTGGATTGAATAAAGTTGTTCTTAAACAGCTTACAAATTCTGGATATATTGATCGACTTTCAAGCATTCAGTATCCATTCCAAAACATGTCCACCATTTACCGAAGTAAATAAGGATGTGGTTCCTTACCATTTATGAGATCAAATTGACTTTATGAAACGTTCCAAAATCCACATAACCATTATATTCAGTGTTTCGTGCATCTGTAACCTTCGTTTATGAACTTGCAATAAAAACAAACGAAGCCAAACGAAATCGAGACTCGTTATTACACCAAGACGGTAAAATAAATTTGTTAGAGTGAGCGTGCTACTTGAGACATCAGAATGGTTCTGTTCGAAATAGGAGAACGTTTTACAACTAGATAGCTCCTAAAGTCTGGCACGAAATTTTGGAGCAGTTGCTTTTGACGAAATATTAAAGTTTTATGACTGCAAATGGGCGCGTTTTAGCTTGTAATAATTTAAGCTCTAACCTAAGGATAACAAGCCAGCCAACTGTTACGCAGTATCAATTTTCTGAACGCAATTTACATATAGTTTAATTATTTTGCTAATGAAGAGGAATGAGAAAGTGAATATATAGAGCTTTCTGGTACGTCTTCTTACAGGCTGTCCTGAATTATAACTAACTACCGGTTTACTCAGCATACGAATTTTCAGTTTTTTCTAAAGTTCAGTCCAAACGGTTTTACTAATTACATATTTAGTTTCTGTTTAAAAGTCAACAGTTGATCTAATAAAACAATTTGCCAAGTTTCAACCAGTTCATCCTAGTTCTGAATACACTATCTAAATTCAGAGTTACCAAAGCTCAAAGCGAGATTTCCATCTTACTTTGTGCAGGTGGAAATATAGTTGAGTAGTTATTAAAACTAAGTTAATTTAAGTAAGTTTTAAATTCTTCTGGTATTATTATTAGCTGATGTCCAGAGTTGCTTTAACTTTAAAATTTGTATTAAAAGGACTATGAACTTTGCTTCAATAAATTGTTAAAGACCACTACATTTCATCAGCAATATTCACTTTAGTGCAGATTCAAAAATTATATTGGATATAAAAAATGTATGTACCTACTCGTATATCTAAAGCAAATATTTGCCAAACATTTCGAAAATATTGTTATTTTAATTCATATACGCGTTCACGCGAATTTATTTCCGTGAAGTGAAACTCATCCATTACCCGTTTGTAGTTTTGACTCTAATGTATTCATTATTTTGCTCTTACAGAACGAATAACAAATTTGAAATGAACTGAAATAAAAAGTAGCGGTGCTGTCTAACATTGCAGCAATAATATTGTTAGTAACTAAGCATGTACATATTTTTCAATATCAAACTTAATAATTCCGTATAAAATTTTCTCTGTGTGAAATTTTGAGGCTCTATCGAAACTACCAGCATATCAAGCCTCGCTTTTGATTAATTATTAGAGTACTTGTCTTTATTGGTTTATTTTTATCTTGCAAATATTTTTACGTCTTCAATGGATTATGTGAATGGTGTAATTCGTTGCTTATGGCACATGTATTCTATGTGAAAAATCCCCAAAATGTATGCGAATCTAAGTAATAAAAATAACATCAAACGCAGACGAATTTTCCTATTCTAGGATATTATTCATGCTGTTATTATCTTTCCCTCCATAGTCTGTCTTCGCCCGAGTGTCACCGTCATCTCGGATGCCCATTTTAGAGCAAAATGTAGGCATAATATTCTTACGTGTATTACTTTATGTGTTAGCTGAAAAATTCTCTTATACGCATTTTATGTTATTCATCCATATTACCGGAGGACGAAGCCGTTTGACGCCTCGTAAAAAAATTCAATTTTAGGAAAATATGTTTCTATTTTTTATTCAATTATGGCACTGAAACATGAGAATAACAACATGAAAACATGTATAGTTTTATTTTATTTGAAATTAACAATTTGTTCATGTTTGTTTCTTGGAATAGATCCTCAATATGTTTGGTACCATGTGTGAGAAATTTTTTCGATATATTTAAGACCGATAAGAAAGAGTCTTGCGTCGGTTGTTTGAAGACTAATTTGAGATTTTGGGCAATTCAAAAGTTCAATGAAATATTTTAGGAATTTTTTACGTACATTTTTGGGTCATTACCTCGTTTTATTACTATCTTTCACTGTAATAAGAATTTGAAATTAAAATCTGCTTTAAATGAGTTTAAATATCAGGTGGAATTGTGCGAAGTCGTTACATGCCAACATTAGATATGACTTCCTTAATGGAGTGGATCCCGCTCTTTTGGGAGCCGAGCATCAGCGTAATTTCGTATATGTGTGAATTTATTTAAGCGACCTCTTGATCTGGAAATGTGGCAGGTTATAAAGAACGTGAATTATATGTGGTTTTGTGTAATTTTCAATGAAATTTTATTTGTAATTTCTATAAAGTTTAAGCATTTCCAGAGGCTATAACGCCAAATGAGAGATTGCAGATTAAGTGACTAAACAACAGACGTTTAGGAAGCTCTGAGCCGTACAAGCAATGAAAAAATCATTTGCATGATAGATCAATTCAAAATTAGAGAAACTCGATTAAAATCGAAAAAATCATAAGACAATAGTTCAATAACATATTTAAAAAAAAATTGGTGTATGATCGAATCAATGTGGCAACAAGAATAGATTAAGCGTTGAAAATGCTATAGGAAAAACTGTATAAAAGCTCGATTCAATGACGACCAGTGCTTAATAAACCAATTTTTGTTCAGAATGGCATGCCATAACTTGTTTCGAAACCAAATAAGCTATTAGACGAATGAAAAAGTACGACATTGCTACAGAAGTCCTCAATAATTTAGAAAACAACTACTATATATTCCAAACAGCACCGTAGGAACAACAAATAACGCTTCTTTGCGCGCTTTGATAAAAAATACGAGGAAAAGATGAGTGAACTCAGTTTGAAATCTTATAACTGCTTAACATCTTAACCAACAGAAACTAGGAAACACACATATGTCACAATATCTAACAATCGGAAATGGCACATGAAGAAGAATTTACCGATGATGAAGAAGACAAAATTTTTAAACTGTTGTAGTTAGTTTACGAATAACGAACAACTGAATATTGAAAAGCTTACTGAATATTTCTTTTTTTTTCAGGGAATTACTTTGAAAATGAACGAAGATGGTAAATGCATTGTTGCTAGAATTATGCATGGAGGGATGATCCATCGACAGGCTACTCTTCACGTCGGAGATGAAATAAGGGAAATTAATGGGACACCAGTTGCAAACCAGTCCGTTGGAGCGTTGCAAAAAATACTCGTACGTTTTGTTTCGAGTCTTATGTATATTTTGTGTAACCGGTGATTTTATTTTAGAGGGAAGCACGAGGTTCTGTCACCTTCAAAATAGTTCCCTCTTACCGAAGTGCCCCTCCGCCTTGCGAGGTAAGTCGATAGTTTGTACTGAAGCCTTTATCACTCATTCCACAGCTTAATTTTTCAAGTAAATTTTTCCATCTAGCACATCTCATCAAACCAGTAACCGTTTTATTTTTGTTATTCCAAAAATTGTATTATTGAAGATGCTTCCAGTGTAGTTTGAATTAAATTATTTACACCTGCTATATGAAAATAATTCGTCCATCCTACTTTCAAAAGAGAAATGTTTTGTTATATCAAAAAGGAACTTGAACTTATTTGCAATCATAGAATTATTTTCATACAATCAACATTATCAAGATAGTTGCATCATTTAGCTTCTAGTTTTATTCATGAGCGAAACTTCCAAATTGTTACCCCAAAATTATTAATGTTTTTTTGTTCTCTTTCTGTAGTTGTTCAGGATTAAACCTCTGCCCGTACTTGTAAGTACTTAGTGAACTAAATTCTTACTGGTGTTTGGTGTGATGTGCTCCAAAATTTACGTTGTTTTGTTCTTGCGGATTTTTATTAAAGCTCTATGTGTGTAACTACTGAGTTAGACTGACCTCGTTTCTTTAATGATTTGATAGCTGATTTTAGATGTAAAAATATGTATACATGTAAAACTAAAAAGGGTTAATATATTTTAAATGTTAATTTGCTTTGGGACACCAAGTTTAAATTATGTTGTATAATTCAACCCAAATCTTGGAAAAGTTCAAGTTATTTAACATGAACCAAAGGTCGTTTATCTGTTAGGAATTTTGGAAAATGTCGATTTAAATTATTTATTTAGACGATATATCAGCACTTATGACTAGAATATTGTAAAACTTGGTTTTCACTGACGTGATTTCAAGGTGTTGTTTTGTAATATATAATTTTTTCTTCATATTAGTTTCATGTTTTTATAGATATTTGTCAGGGCGCAGTTCGACTATGAGCCTCTAGAGGACGACCTCATTCCATGCGCACAAGCTGGTATAGCCTTTAGAACTGGTGATATTCTACAAGTAAGTATTACTAATCAAAAAAAAAATTATAATTTGGTAGTGCGGACGCGAATTTAATTTTCCTGTTTTTTAAGATTATAAGTAAGGATGACCACCATTGGTGGCAAGCTCGAAAAGATCAAGCTGGATCAGCCGGTCTGATCCCTTCCCCTGAGCTGCAGGAATGGAGGGCGGCCTGCTCATCGATGGAGAAATCTAAGCAGGAACAAGGTATTGTTTCTAATTTTTAAGCTTTTGAAGTCAATTTTACGGACATGCATTTTTTGGTAATTTCAACCATTCAAAGTGATTTTGATAAGTTCAATTCGCGTGAATACGGCGTTGGGAAAGAACAGATTCTTGGGTGCTCGCTCGGTCACTCGCAAAAACCGTTAAAAATGTTGGTAAAAACAAAATTTATAAAACACAAACCGGTTTTTGACGAAACAGTTAACTAATTGACATTGTGTTTATTTAATGCACAGCAATTGATCGTTAGGAAGCAGAAAAATATTCTAAAGTTGTAATAAAATTAAAAAAGAACCAACAAATAATTGCGTGTGATACTAACAAAAAAATTAATTTTCCCATAAACAATATTGCCTCATTCCAAGATACGTTGAACGAGTCATTATTGCCACTTTGTAAAATTTCAAGAAAGTGTTAAGAAGGTCAGTCTATTGGGAGTCATTTTGATGAGTCTTTCGCATTTGAACATTGTCTGGAAATATAATGAGGTTTGAAGATAATTAAAAATATGTTTGTTACTTTTTGTTGGCAATTCGAGCCGGTTCAGTTTAGTAATTGGAGTTTTAGTACGGGACATCAGCTAATTCTAACAAGGAAATATTTTGAAGTCACTTCGGAAAAAATACGTTTTTATTGTCTTTTTTTAATGTTTCCTTGAAGTTAAACGTTCATATTTTTGCTCAAAACTTAACGAATAAAGTAAGAAAAGCTCGAGGGGCTCTTGATTTTCCAACAGAGGCTTAAATCGACAATAAAATATTGGAAGAAATTATCGACATTTCTTCTGTGAAAAGCCAATGCTACAATGTTTTATTTTACAGCACATCATCAAATATAATGTCTTTCACATTTGAACGACGTAGTTAATGACTTTGTTTATTATGTCGTTGATGTGAATGATATTGCGACCTCTTCCTGCATTTTGGTTGTTTCCCATTCTGCTCTAATTGTCGTACACTACTTGTTTTCAATCATATCTGTGCCACTGCATGATTTCACTCCGATTTGTTGCCAGATCCGCTAGATATTACTGTATTGATTGAGAAACCATCAACTTTTGTGTGTTTTATTGTTACGTATTTTGAGGCATGATAAATGAGAAGTATAATTTTTATCGCCTACCTTTAGTATTTTAATGAAATGGAACCGATATTGGAAAGTTATTTTTGCGTCAGTTCTTTAAAAAAAACTTAGATATTTTCAAATGTTAACCGCAACTTTTATTAACTCGATTAATAAATTAATTCAACCGTACTCATGGTTTCTATTAATTTCGAAAATAAATATTTTTATCCTGCCTCCCTGGGCAAATTATTTTTTAAGCTCATTAATCTGTATATAATTAGATATATTTTTGGGTTTAGTAATGTATTCATATTTATTTACCTGCCATTCTGTTTAAATATAGAAAACCCTAAAATATATGGTTTGTATATAATTTTGTGTTGTTATTCGTTGTGATATGTATTTTTGTTGTATGGACTAGATTTCGAAAACGGATGCACATCACACGCTAACGGCTGTGATGGTTCAACAGGTATAGGCTAAACATTGTTTATTCGTAGATTGTGTTTTACTTTTTTTGTTTTTTTTACATTTTATCAGACAATGCAGCATTTTTACTTTGTTGAATGATTTTGCAATTATTTGCTGAAAGCGAGCTTATAGCAACACATTATGCGATCATCAAAAACGCACTTTCGACTCTTTCATTTTTACAAGTTGTCTCTGGTTTTAGCTGTTATTATTGTCAATTTACGTATTTACAACAGTTACGCTTGCAGGAAATAACGCCAAATTTGCCATTCTGCAGATGAAATTTGTAGATAAAATAAGACGCAATTTTCGGATAAGATTGGAATCGGATATAATTGGTAAACTCATTTGTTGTAGTGAAACCACGTCAAACTTGAAAACACATTTAACGGCCTTGCCTTAGTAGCTTTATATTACCAAATAAAATGAATGTTTCTTATTTGTGTCCGTATTTAAATGCCCCTTTTTGATTATCATTAGATTATATTTTTTTACTTTACGTAGTCTGTACTTCCATATTTGCTGATTAGCTTTCATAAATCGCCGTTGGCTATTCGTATTGTATTATATAAGTGTAAAAAGCTTTTGTATGAAAAATGAGACTTCTTGTTTTCGCGTAAATTATTCATAGCCTTGCTTTGGTTTTTTAGTAAGCAATAAATTAGTCTAAAATCAATATTTCTTTAGCGATCATTTAATTGAAACATTGCGAATATTTAAATTTTTAGATATATTATAAAACATCTGTTTAATTTGCAATAATGGCGTAGTTTATCTGAAAGTTGCACACGCTTCTAACAGGCATCATTCGAAAACATCCCTTTGTTTACTTTAACACAGAACAACATTTAGAGAGAAAAACCCCTCACCAGCTCGTTATAGGAACAATGCGATATTTAACGCATATGTCTGTTTAGATGTAGAATCCATTATCTATTTAGCATGCTGATTTCAGAGCTTTTAATCTGTCTCTGCCTTTCACGGTGCAATATGATATGCTGGGAAAAAATAAAACATTTACAAGATGCATGGCTAATAGGACATAATATGCTTGTTATATTATTTCGTCTCTAATTGTCGTTTCTGTTTCAGTCAATTGCTCAATATTTGGCAGAAAAAAGAAGCAGTATAAGGATAAATACTTGGCTAAGTATAATGCAGTTTTTGACCAATTAAATTTAGTTACGTACGAAGAAGTTGTTAAACTACCCAGTGAGTATTTTGTTTTTACGTTACTGTAAACAATTCAATCAAGTCGCTGCTTCTGTGTATAAATTGTGGTTAAATGTAACTGATGCTACTTTTTTAGTGACTGATCCAGCGTTTCAAAGGAAGACTTTGGTGTTACTTGGTGCCCATGGAGTCGGACGAAGGCATATAAAAAATCTCATGATAGCTAAACATAAGGATCAATACGCTTATCCGATACCACGTAAGTAAAATGTATACTATTTTGACCTACAAGGCGAACAATCTTGCCAATCGGCTACTGTTTCTAGTAAAAGTCTATTTAAATTTTAAAAAATTGGAAGCCGTAGAAAAAAAACGTAATTGAAAGCACAAATCTGTCAAGGATTTTCCTGCATTAACTAATGAATTATAAATTATCCGGAGCGATAAAACAAAACTTTGAAGTAGAATCCCAAATCTGTTCGAACAACTCGGAACTTTGCGAAAGTATTTAACTTGGAAAGAATAAACGCGTTACGAAAGTATAGCACGAAAAAACGTTCAAGCTTCTACCATCATCAGAAAATATTTTCAATTAAAATTATGTAACCATTAATTTTGGGCTTGTTGGAAAAAAAATGGCCAGAAGCGTATATAAGCTTATAAGCTTAAAAATATAATATAACTTTCCAGTTCAAGAATAGCCCTGCCTCAATAAATTTTCTGTAAAGTTTATTGAAGTCTGTAAGTGACTAAATCAGTGCACAATTAGATAATTACATGGTTTGTTTTCTATTTGAGATTAGTTTCTGTGCTTTTTTCTCAGTTTATATTCAGTTTATGTTTTCATTTGTTGCTGTTTCTTTTCTGGCGATTAGTAATTTTATTAGCTTGGCCAACTTCATGTCTTGGTGTATTGTTTCAAAAAAAAACGTTTTCGAACAATTTTTTAAACAAACAATTTGTATTTATTTTTTCGAACCCTAAGTATGCGTTATTTATATAATATCCGAGACCTAAACGCAACAGTTATTCAGAATTTGACGAGTTGGAATATCAATAACTAAGACTTAACTAACTAAAAATATATATTTTTTTTAAATGAAGGCTTATTTACCGCGACATATTTAGGTGTCATACTGGTTCGCTGCTCCTAGAATTAACAAAACATATAAATTACTTTCCAATTGTTATGAAATTCATGACCAAATTTCAAGATCAAATTTTGAACATTTAATAAGATTAAAATATTTTTTGTAGATTTTAAATTATGTTAATATCGTTTTCATTTCAAGAAACAACAACATATTTTAAACGTACATTTTTGGAAAACTGTTACACAATGAATAACAAAATAAAATGTAGGTGTTTACGTTTGCAAAACCTCAAGCTCGTTACTTATTTCGTTGAATCGCTAAATTTTGAAAGAGTTTGTTCCAACCTCCACATTTGCAGTCACACACATATGTGGACCAAACGATTTAAGAAAAATTATTCATTATTTCTGCCCTCGTACAATTAAATAGATATATGCAAAACACGTCCATTTTATGTTAAAGGATATTATTTTATAAGTCGACTTTCGAGTAAATTACACCTACTGGGGATGGCTTTAAATAATCCCTAAAATCTTAGATTATGAAGGGAGCAGTGTGCAGCAATTAGCAAAATTTTGGCTTTCACTTGAAAATATTTTGGATTTTTGAAGACTTTCTAGTCTACATCGTTTATTAAGCTTGGGAATTTTATCTAAACAGTTATAGATATTTATATATGTCGTGAAAAGACGTTAGATAATCCATTTCGATTGATTTCTTAAAGTTGCAAACGATCCGTCCAGTTTGAGTTTTTTTCTAACGGCCTAGATAATTTCCGAAATTTCAAAAATTCTCTAGGATAGAATATACTCTAAGTGCAATTAGCTCCTATAATTTGACTCCCTGACATTGGAAATATATTACAGATACAACGAGGCAGCCAAGAGCCGAAGAAGAAAACGGTCGCGGTTATTTTTTCATAACCCATGATGAAATGATGACCGATATTGCTGCGAATGAATATCTAGAATATGGAACCCATGAAGATGCCATGTATGGAACTAAGGTTAGTATGCTATCAACTAGTTTTCATTGTTGTTTTGAAAGGTTCTTTAATTGAGAAAAATCAGGCGGTATTTATCAGTTTCGTTATAATAACTGTTTTCACATGAAAACTTTTTATTGTACCAGTTCCAATGTGCGCTTAACTATTTTATTTCGGCTGAACAATGGGGTCTTCTACAGTAGCAGGAAATTTCGATTAAAACACTGCTGTGACATGATTGATTTGAAAATACTTGACTATAAAGGCTTAAAATTGCATTTCCTTTATAATACCATATTGCGTATTTTCAATCATTTTTATTTCGCATGTCAAGTTGGCAAACATCAAAATGATTATCTAAAAGCTACCTTTGAATCGACTCAGAAAACCGATGAACCGACATTTTTGCATTTGAAAGAAGGGTGGAATTGGCATACATCAGCGATATAAAACTAAAATTGTATCGTATAAATTCGTATTATCGTTTCTGCCCTTTTTCCTCTCTGTTTTGTTCTTCTGATAGCTCCAATGATGTTAATCGACCAAAAGGGGTTGTTTATTAACTTTAAATGAACGTCTATGAACTTAAAATGGATTTGTTATCAAAATATTGCTTCGCATTTTAAACAGTATGTTCGCTATTTTCCCACAGTTTACTACCTATTTATCTCGATAAAAATGATAATAGATGCTTGTGTTTACTAAGGGTGGCCACCGRTCATACTGCGAAAAGACTCACGAAAAGAACCCATAAAAAATATTTTTGGTGTCTAGAGAGTCTTGRAGAAATAGTCAAAAGTTCATGTTCAACAATRTTCGAAAATGCCCACATTTTCTCATCTCTCTCAAATTCCTCACTATTTTACGTGYTAATTTAATCTAACATTTGAACATGAGATAACMAATGAAGAAGACAAMAGAGAGATAACAAAAGAAGAAAATGAAGATAAACAATTGTCAATTAAAACTACACAGGTTTTTAYTATACATTTATTATTWTCGAATACATTTATAATAAAATAATTAAAACTTATTGGGCAGAAAGACCGATTGGGTCGATAGCCTTTTTCTGTAGGAAATAAAGATTATTTATATATATATAAAACTTATTTTATTTTGGTGRGTTTGGTGACACATWCAAAACTCGGTTTTGAAYTCCTCTAATGAGGAAGCACCCCAGTGCCAAAACCTGCCAAAAAATATATTCCTAAAACCTGTTCTTGTTTCAAATGGGAATAAATTAGTATGAAATATTKTATTTAACATAGTGGYAGATTTCTACGTTTAACGTAATTTTTTGTTTCGTTTGTCTAGTTGGATACGATTAGAAAAATACATCAAGAAGGAAAAATGGCAATACTCGACGTGGAACCACAAGCGCTAAAAGTTCTTCGGACAGCCGAGTTTGCACCTTTCGTTGTGTTCATTGCTGCTCCACAATTGCAAAACGTGGCAGATGTAAGTAGAATTGAAATCTTTAATGGCCGTCTGCAGCGTTTGTAGTCCAAAAATTGAATAATTATGGAATGCTTAAACTTTAAGACCTGCTCAAGATTTATTTGTGCACTTCGTATTTAAGCTACCGATGCAAAATTTGGTCTTAAACCATTACCTTAACAGTAACAATTCAAAATTTAATTTTATAAGTACTTACTTAGATCGAGATCGAGAGGAAAAAAATACCTTGTTTTATTCCCGCCATATATTTTGAAGTAAATATGCATAGAAAATAGGTCTTGCCTACTGCTAATATCTAGAACTTAACTGGAGAGTGAATTTTTATGTGGGCTCCTTCAAGATATCCACTAACCTTTTGGAAACCAAGTTTGCTGGTAAAATTGCTGTTGCAGATGAACAAATTCAGCACTTCCAGAAATGTTTACACGATATTCTCTAAAGCCAAAATTTTCTCGTGCCTACAATGGTGGACGATCCGTAAAAAACTGACGCAAAGGAAGCTCGATAAATATTTATAAATGATTCCGACACTCAAGAAGCGCTTTAATTTACCGTAACCAATTTGAAACGGTTCGTTTTGTCATTTGAAATTTTCTGAAGAAAGACAAGCTGTCCAAGCTTTTCCGGGCCCTCTGTAAAACTCTTTTTAGACACCAATTTCGCAACAAATATTGGGAAAAAGTAGAAATCAATCAACTAGGTGCGAACCGGAACAGAGTCGGACATGCCTTCATAAAAATGAAATTGTACTTTTATACTACTGTTTTACAAGAAGTGAATTATATTGCTGGTGGCTAATACAAATATGAATGCATTTTTCAATAAGGCAATTATTTAATCGTATTATCTAATTGTGCACTCTCGGTGTTTGAGGAAGCTGCTAACAGCTCTATGTCTTTTCAATTTTTCGTTAAGTTTTGCCACAACTTTTTGACCGGTTTTATGGTTCTATCTAATTTTTTGCAGTTTGACGGTAGCTTGGAGAGACTCTCCAAGGCTTCAGAAATGATGAAGCAAGCTTACGGCCATTACTTCGACCTGATTATCGTGAACAACGACATCGAGGAGACCATCGTTGCCTTGGAGGCCGCCATTGAGCAGGTTCAGACCACTCCTCAATGGATCCCGGTCTCTTGGGTCTACTGACAACACGAGAACCTGGACTATTACGGGTCTCTGCAGTATTTTTAACAGTGAATATGACGGCGACCTTGTGTAAGGTTCGCTCTTGACTATGACGACGACTCAGATAAGCGTACGTATTCAATAATCCACCAACATCAGTAATTAGAGCCACCGAATCATATTTCAATTCTGTATTTACTCACTAAATTAAATTAACCCAATTTTAATCATTCAGCTCTTTAGGCTCTTTTATAGATGTTCTGCGCGGCTTTTGATCGTTAATTAGTGTGTTTGCATCAATTTTTATTGATTATTATTAAAACTCTACTGGCATGCATCATACGATGCCATATGCAATTATACAAAAGTTTGGTGCACTAATTGAATTTTTAATTCGCATGTTACATCCACAATGTGATTATAAAATCCTTTAAGGGCGCCTTAGATCTCTTAATACTTTTAATTAATAAAAAGCGATCCATTTCGCTTGATCAGCTCATAGCCAGTAGATTATGGAAATTGAATACAGACGTGTACTATCCGATTTACAGGATCACAAATTTTCAGCCAATATGTACCTAGTAATCAGCAGAATTACTCAAAAGTTTCCAATGAGTATTAAGTAATTTGAGCGAACACTCAAAAAAGACTTTCAAATTCATGTTGCAATTCAGGGGCTTTTGGAGATCCGATTGTTTCCATTTCCTTTCGTCTGAAATGCTAGGTTTTTTAATTATGGTTGATTCTCGTTTCAAAATGTGTATCCTGTAAATCAATGCGTAAACTCAAGCATCTGGGAATTAATGCTTTAATATTGACTAACTCGAAAATGGACTTCCAAAGATCAATTAATACATTAGATCTAGATAGATTTATGATAATTTGGATATGTACTCTCGGGGTGCAACACGACATGCGCAAGTAAAAAAATATTTATTAATTTATTGCATCTTCTTGCCCTTTGAACGCAATACCAAAAGTATTACGTAATACCAAAAATACCAAAGTATAGTCAGCTTTAGAGAATCTTATGACTGAGCTGCTATTTCCAAAAATTACAGACTTTTTTGACTCATAAGAGAAAATATCCCTGCAAACATTCAACAGTACATACTGCTTCGGAGTTTAATACCAATATCAATCGTGTTCGGGGGTTAAACTTTCATTTTCCAAATTTATTATTTTTCTTTCCATTCCAACATTTCAGATGGTAGTCAGTCAAAACTCACGCAGAAGTTTTTTGCAATATTAATCTTCCGTTGCAGCATTTGTTTAAATCAATTTTTAACTTGCTATAGCAATAATATCAAAACGGTATTCTAGATACCATCTGAAGAGTTGTGGATACTGCTGATAATCGCTTTATTAGGGCTTTTATACTATATTAAATGAAAACAATACAATAATTCGTCTGTTCATCTTGTCTGCAGTGAAAAATCAACTAAGAAGGATCGCGTCTTTTTACCCCGGCAGACTCCTTTCGTTATGTGTAAAAAATAATTATTCGTTCAATTTCAGCAGATTGATATATGTAAATATTTTGCTTTGCTTACTTTATTGATACAATATGTTATATCATTCATATAGATTCATGGAATAATTGCAAAAGAACATCGATTCTTAGGGGAAAGAATTTCAAAGTAAATAACTGAAGAATCATAGGAATAACCATACAAATCGATTGTAGAAATTCAAGCTCAATCAATTATTGAAAAAGCAAACGCGTCTCTTCTTCGAAATTGACTACTGTATTGTGCAAATGATTCTCAGAAACTAAAAGCATGTTAAATAAATATTTTATACCCGCTCGATTCATCCTGATGGGGTAAGATACAGCGAACAAAGAGAAGAAGAAAATTGGTCTTCTCAAATTCGTATTGAAAAATATAGTTGTTGATCAGTACCGAAACTGTAGGACAAAAAATTATACATATTAATCGTACCTCTCAATTAATTTTTTATTTGTTTGATAGCTAATATTATATTGTTCGGATATGCTACGTTATATTATGATCGACTAGTTTAATAAAGAAATAAAGTAAAATATACAAAAGTCGCAGGGCTTAACAGAGCTCAATTCAAGAAGTGAAAATTATTTATAGCAATACACATAAGTATTATTATATAATTCGATAACATATTTTTTCAACCATTTAACCAAGTAATGAGGTATATTTTACACCTAATTTTAAAATCATTATATTCTCATTAATATAGCGAATATTAATAAGATGTGTTCACTGTGAAGTTTGTTTATAAAGTTCTTGGCAGGAAGCTATTAAATTTTGATGGTAAGTAAATCGAATGAAGTTCACAAGCAAGTATTTTTCTACGAGTTTATTTTCTAAACAAGCTGCACATAATTAAATATACCTATTTATGTGATATTGTCAATGTTCTAACTTTATTTCATTGTTTTTGTAAAGTAAGTAAAATAATGAAATATAAAACGAATTAAAACCTTAGGAACCGCAAAAATTATCTTGCTAACTTACTAGGGCTCATAGGTAGGAACATAGAACACGTAGTAGGCAACATAAAACTGTTAAACTATTTTTACTGTATTTTTACTGTTTGATGAACTAGTTTAAATTAAATTGGCGTTACTTTTTAAACAAAAATTAACAGAATTATTACAAAAAAGTTATAATTGTGACGTAATAAATTAAACTTGTTAACAAAGAAAACCCATCAATTATCCATTATGTTGCGTTTCATTATGCTGAAAATACAGTAACAATAAGAAAATTTTATATTTTAATAAAATGTTAAATTACAAACTCTAAGAATCCCTGGATAGTCATAATACATTTTTGCAGTACTCTACCCCGTTACCGCGCTTTTGTAACTTACATGCCATACTTTGTAACATTCAAATTATTTAATGTTTGATGTAATATTTATTTGAATTATTAGAATATTTATTTATTATCTTCATAGGGAATAGTTATAAATATTAAGTTTAAGTTAACAGTCTATTGTGTTTTAGAGGTGCAAACATATTGATTTGTCATTCGCGTTTAAGAGGGTGTTCCAAAGAAATGTTAAACATCTGGTTATTATTGAATATTTCTTAAAGCTAATTATTGGCCTATAAATAGCTATTAATGTGATTTTTTGGTATTTAATTGTTTCAAATTATGAGAAAACTTCCGTTTTTAAGTCACACTAACAGTATTATAATAGCATCGAAATTATTAAAGTTTTGCATTGAATCCAACAATTCGATTTGATTGGACGAATAATAATAAACGGGACACCCGGCGTGTATTTTCATAAAGTTAGTATTCACTTTAAGATAATGTTGGATATTCGTAGAACATTTATCATCATTTTAAAGAATGTTGTGTATATATTACGTATGTTCATTTTATACATAAACATGTTCACCGTTGCCTGTATATTACCCATTCACGACACCATTTTATATCAAAAGCATTTAAGAGGTGCAAGTGTTCATTGGTTTTTGATCATGTGGAGATTGATCAGTTAATACACGTAATTTAAATTTGATTGACTTATGAATCTTTCAACTGAACACGTATGTTATTTTGCATTTTTTGCAAATGTGCTTATTAATAAATTGGTGTATGATTAAAATATAATAATTATAAATGTATTAATCTCTACATTTTCAATACAAAAAAACCCCAATTCATGTGACATAAGTAAGTTTTTGCTTCCTGATAATTATAAAAACTGTACCTATAATAAACATTTTTATAAATCCTTAGTGAGAAAAAACTTAAAGTCCGTTTATGGTTTAATTGCCTAATTAAGTGATTCTTTTTTGAAGCGCCTGATGATATGGGCTCAGGTTTTGCGATATTCAAGTGGGAAGCATTAAGCAATTAATGCGGCATTCTTGATCCGAAACGGAAAATTTAACGGATTTCGATTAAAAGTTTACTTTAGTAAGTTTTTTCCCACTATAAGAAGTAAAATCGATGATGAAAATTCAATATTTTAGAATAGAAAGAACGAGTTCGCATTCATTAAATTTAAAGCGATAGGTGAGAATAATGTAGTTGAATATTTCTGAAATAAAGAAATGTACCGTTATAATAAACAATGAAGTTTTATTTGACATTGGGGTAAAGATTTCAAATTTTAAAGACGAAATTTAACAGTTATTACAAAACAAATATTTTTGCAGCAACAACACTAATAAATATTGAGCTACTATTTCTAGAAGATTTTTTAAACTCATGGGCACTAGCCTGTGGAAACCTACCATTAGTAAAGGACAATTTATGATTTGTTAGCCTGCTATACAAGCAAACATAGCATTTTAACAGATTTGTCAGAAGAAATTAGGATAGCGGCTTTGCAGTCTATGCAAAGTTTGTAGAGACGATGTAAAATTGAGGTTCGAGAAAACTATAAATCCGAGTTTGTATTTATTTTATTTCTGAATAGATTCATTAACTGGATATTTCGGCTACTGGCTACTAGGTCTGGGTAACTTAGTGAATTTATAAGAGTTGGCGCATTTCTGCGCAAATTGCTTGGTGCGCCAACCCAATGCACCGGCGCATTAACTCAGTTTAGTTGCTAGAAAAACGTTACTTTTAAAAATGAGGTGACTTTTTTTAAGTTGTTTGAACAAAGTGATCAAACATTCCTTATAGAAAAAGTTGTTGACCTTTTTAGGATGTTAAAATTCCAGTCGCGGATATCGTAAAGCTTTAATCCGATTTAATAAATGAAGTATAACTAATTAAACGATGAGTATTGTCTTTTATTTTTCATAATAAAATTTTATTGTCTTTTATTTTTCATTATTGGTAGTATGATATTGAATGTATTTCATCTGCGTTTCAAAACAACTTCATTTTTAGATTTTTTATATGTAATGACGTTTTTTTGAAGAAAATTATTAAGTTAAATTGTGGATTCTTGATTTTGTTGGATAACTTTCAATGAACAGCGCTAAAGTAACAATATTGCTTCCATCCAGACAAATTTCAATCATAAACTTTGCAACTTATTTATTTCAGGCAAAAATCATTGCGGAAAAATAATTTTGTGTGATATTTCTTAATAGAGAAAATGTGTTTACGTTTATTCCAGCTGATAAATAGTAATCGGTTTTGAGTAATAAAGCAAAGAAAGAAATGGTAATTCAGAAAACGTTTTAGGACTATTTCTCGATAGATATTAGTTGGTGAAAATTCAATTTTAACGCTCTAAACAATACAATAAAACAATTAAAGCACTTCCCTGAACCTATGGAAACGTTCCTTTTCTCAAAGTTACTCAGTTTATAAATGTTCGATAGAAAATAAAAGCGGCACCATAAGGTGAGATAGTAATCTGTTGGCAAATAATGATTTGTTTTTTAATTGTTGCCTTAAGTCATAAAATGTGTGCCCAACTTTTAACCCTTTGGGGGACTTCGAAAAAGTGAAATAATCTGCGCGACAAGTAGAGGTGTTCCATTTTCGACATTTTTATAGGGTTTCTCAGTAATTTTTTGTGCTACCAAAAAAGTAGTCTACGTGTCATTTCCTCTTTTTAGGTCAAATGTAAAATGGTAAGATCAACATTTGAAAGTGTTTACTCTCTTATAGGGCGAAATAAAAAAATTGTAAGTTTGAAAATGAGCCTATATTTTCTTGTTTATAAGAGATACAAAAAAAAATTGTTTCATGGAAAAGTGTATATAGTGATTGCTGAATAATCTGCCTCTTTCAGAATAAGTGTTCGAAGTTAGGTAAAAAAGTTTTGTGTATTTATTTAAAAACACTAAATTAAACTAATCTACTGTCGACTGACAAATTGATTCTAGCACACAGAGAATTTCAACCCAAGATTTTAGGACATTCTTAAACCAAGTGAGGTGTAGGCAAAGAAGTTAGAACCTTCTATTATCAAACACTGTTTTCACATCGATGCTTGGCGAAAAGAAGCACATCCAAGTTAAAGACGAAGGAAATATTATAAACAATATTTATTCGAGTAATTATTCTAACAAGTGCATTAAGCCGAAGATTAATAGAAAAGTGGGTTCCGGACTTTTTCAAATATTCAAAAAAAGTTAAAGTTGACTTAGTATGACGATATAATTCGCAAATCACGTTTATCGAATATTGAACGTGCCTGGTATATTCAACACTCTCACTATCAGAAACCGACATAAGTCACATCCTTGCGATGTGCTGGCCTTTTACCTTTTACCAGGAAAGGTCGCGACGGTACCGCAGATGCGGTTGAAGAGCATCTTCGCTTGGTGGAAGAAGGGGAATTTCACCCCTGGGGGGACTCTTGGGGCATCTTCGACGGTTCATCGAAGAAGTCGTTCTCGGTAGTCGATGTCGTCTTGCTCGACTGATTGCGAGCTCGCATGTACAAAAACATTTTGATTTTTGTGTGGTAAATCGCGGAAGTCTAAGCGCGAAATTTGAATAGTTGAATCTCGCTACCGCGCTTCATTGCTGTCGCACAGCGGACCATTTCTTGTGATTACCTGTTTGATTTTTGCGCCGACAAGTAAGTCCAATTTGCGTAATTTTGGGGCTTTTTAGCGCATTTTTTGCAATATGTTTTCTCTTGCATCGAAAAAAATCCCAGCTCTGTAGGTGTCAGGCATTGTTTTGTATATTGCTGCATGAAACATCAATCATACTCACATTTGAACAACAAATAAAATTCAGCAACATGTAAGTTTCTACTGTACCTATTTAGCTGAATGAGCATAATAGTTTCCCATAGTAAAATGAATATCAATGAAGCAAGTTGCTTGTTAGCCCAGGTTAGTACAAAACGAACGGATTAACGGTTACACGGATTCGAAGTGAGTTGGCCAATTTTATATTATAAGAAAATTTGCGTATTTTATTAAGCCTGATGAAACTATTACTAATGGGCTAGATACGGGTGTTGCAAAGTAAACAAATTGGTCAGATATAAGAAAACGGTTTTATTAACTAAGGAATCTTGAAGAAAATGTAATTAATTTTTAAGATGTTAGCAGAATAGATAATCGTTGGGTTGTTGATAAAAACTTGTCTTCTTCCTTGTGAAAACTGAAATGTTTCGCAATTTTTTCCACATTGTTCTTAATGTAAAATATTTTTAAATGAACGTTTCAAAATAACAGAACATGTTTCGAAATTTAATTTAATTCAATTGATTCTGGGGATCTGCCAACACTTACAATTTTATTTCACCATAGTTATGATCGATTGATTTAGCCATTAATTTTTTAGTCAATACTCTTACTTGCACCGCGTTTGTGGTGTTGCTAATTGACATGGGACAAAGCCAATGAAAAAAACACTTGATTTACAAATAAACGAGACCAGTTTGAAAGAAAATGGGCTTTTGCTCACAAACAAAGAACTAAAACTTAAAGCCAATTCCTTCAAGCATTCTAATCTAGCCCTTTTTACCGGTCAAAGCTTCCATTGATTGAACAAAAAGAAAGGTTCGGCACTCTGCAAATCATAGGCGAAGGCAAGAAAACTACCACATATTTTTCAATAAACTGTGTGCCTTATATTCTTTGAATCTGATCAGAAACCAGGTCAGAGTCAGTTGTAAACTTTTCAAATATCCAGCCTTAAAGTGTTTCATATAAAGTACCTTCACGTTGGTAGCATATAATAGAACAGCAATTCATTAACCACTAATTTGTGTTTTATAAAAGTAGCTTAATCTTTAAAACTCTTTATGTCTAATTAGGCTGCTATAGCAGAAGACAAACGGGTAGAAAGCCAAGTTAAATAGAAGCAACTAAATAAATGATTGTTTGGGTTCATGGGCAGGTGTGAAAACTTTGCGAATTCGACATCCTGATGAAAATGGGGCATCTTTATTTCAGCTTTTACCTGTTTTAGTTGGTTTTATTATTTGAATTTTTAATTGTTAAATAAGCACTAAATTAATTTTTCCAAAGGATATGTTTTTTCATGTTACGTTTGTAATATAGATTAATAATTAGAACACAGATTCTGATTATTTCCATCTCTTTAAGTATCGGATTGTCAGGAGCTTTGGTAGATTTGGCGGTAAACAATGTAAGAAATAAATCTGAAAAAACTATTTTCACAGATGAGGAAATTAATTTTGCATTAACTTAATTAGTTAATTCCAAAAGTTCATAATCAACATCTAAAATTTACTTGCGCTTTTCCAATTAGAAACAACTGGGTTATTTAGACACATTTAGTTTGTCATTACTTTAAAAATGTTACATTAATAGTTTTCCTTGTATATGTTACTTATACAACTAGTATTTTTTAATATACTTATTTCATCTAATATTTTATGAGTTTTGYTTCATCTTATTTGTGTTTTAGTTAATGTTTGCTATATTGTATTAGGTTTCCTCGCGATTCAAGATTTCTAAAAGCTYCCATTYCAAGACGATGTTGATACAGTTTTCAAGTAAGRCTTTAACCGCTAAAATAARGTTATAARTTAATAAAGTATTTGCAAAATTAAAAAAGGCTGAARGRATTTTTTGAATTTTKAAGTAAAAAATGGTAACTTYTACCGCTGGAAGGCGCCAACACTGGAATGGTGTGAAYTAGTGAATTCATATTGCAAAATCTGATTTTCGAGCTGTTTTTTACAGAGAAGTAGTTTTAKCCCTGCTCATGTTCACCGTTTTAGAATTACTGGCTTTATATCGCTCTATGCAGTGGCACTATTCATTTGACTTTTTTGTACTTGTTTTTAACAGTWTTCGATATTTTATATTTACAAACTAATTTAGAGCACTTTCAAATTACGTTTTATAAATCATAATGTTATTATTATATCTTAATTATAATGTTGTTGTCTAAGTAGGCTGGCTCTATCTTAAACTCGCCTGTTATAAAATCGAAAATGGTAATTTTGATCGAACCAACATGATATCAAACGCCAATAACTAGTTTTTCATATTAATCGAATTTAATTTATTTGTCGTCCACTCCTCTCTTTGATTAAAACGTTTTTTGTTTAAAAAATYTAACGAGAAATGACAATGTGACATCRCCAGATATGAATTCTGTTATCTCAAGAATKACCAACTTRAGCGRGATTTYTAAGCAACTYTTTCTGTGATAAACAATGTAGAAAATTATTTTTYGTATTTGAAAAAGTGGCWTTTTCTTGACGGAGTTTAGATCTTTTYTCATCGTGTGTCACTKCACTTTTTTGRAAAAKCAGAAAAAWAMGGATTTAAAAACTGAAAATTATCAATTTACTAATTTAAAGGTTTCTTGCAAAGCTTGTGATTAAATTTTTGCGAACCTTTCTTAACTGATTCAAAATGTAGTATATTGTGGCTAAAAAACTTTATTAAAGGTTTTCGTTTGAAAAATTAAGCTATTAAGTTTTACTACTCATTTTATTAATACATTACAGTTGCATTCTGTTTGGGTGTTTTCAAATGCCGTTTTTTCTAGAGCTTTCTCAAGAATTTATTCAGAATTAGCCATACATTAAAGTTTAAAAAATACGTAAAAATAAATTGTCACAGCTCCAGTAAATTGATGATTGATCAAATGTTTCCAATTATTACCAAAACAGTTATGTTTTCGTTGCTATTGCGTGAAACTGGTGAGTTTTTGGGACTTTTATGTAGCCGTGAAAAATAATTTCTTTTTGCCGTTAGGCAAGCACGAATAGCCGAGACTTTTTAGACGAGAGCCTAAAAGTCCGCAAAACTCAACAATTTCAATAATCTCTTAGTCAATTCTGAGAAAGCAAAAATTAAAGCTGAATATTTCTGTGTTTGAAAAGGGCTTGTTGACTTGGCTGTGTTAAAAGTGTTTAAAAATCAAATCAAATCAACTCCTGGGCCTGAGATGTTAGTTTTTTTGGCACAGGCAAAAAGCTTCCTTGTTTGAATTGTGTAACTAAGCTTACTCGCACATTATTGATTAATAGCATGTAGTGCCAACAACCCAGAGAAGGATTTTAATAACTACTATTAAAATTCCAGAAACTAGAGCAACTACTTTTGAACAAAAAGCCTTCACATTCAATTTTTTTCATCACAAGTCAATCAACTGACATTTAGAACGATGTATTGTACCAATTAAATCTCACAAAAAATTGTCCTGCCGGAATTACCAGTCAGAAAATGTCTATGTTTTGTCTTATTTGCACTATAATTGATCATTTCCATTGTCGGTATCCTTACCGAGTAAGTGACCTTTCGATGAAATATGTGAGTAAATTTGAAGCGTTAAATTGTGCAAGGCATATGCTCACCTAAATTTTAAAGTAAAAGTTGATTTAGTATATTAACTACCGTGGGTTCTTGCGGGAATCTACTTGCCCATCTTTCAATAAGTAAACTGTATATTATTTATTTGCCGAGAAGAGAAAAGAGCAGAATATTGTTTATTTAACGCGGAGAAATCGGGCAATGAGCTAAAAATGTTTGACAATGAATGCGAGGGATCATCAATTTATATTTGCTTTCTGGAAGTAACCAGGTCAGCACAAGCAAGAGAATTCATTTGAAAAACGTATAACAATTGGAAAAGAAATTATTCAGGCTAGGAAATAAACTACAAAGTTCTTAATTTGACTTCATTAGGGTTTACTTGATATTTACTTTGTCCAGATGTCCAAAAATAAAATTTGAATATCCTTCAATGCGCCCAAATTTTATGGTCATTGTGTAAATTTTATGATTTTATACGGTCGTCGATATCCACAAACATTTATGCATCTTCTTCAAGTTGAAGTTTAATTAAGATATTCCGATGCAATGACGAATTTTCAATTTTGCTACATGGAGATTTCATGCAATATGTTTATTAGAAACGATGATGATTTCCTTGACCTACAACGTTTAACATTTTGTATTTTACAAGCGATTACTCAATGGAATGTCTTTGGAAAATTCAATATTTCTCAGCAACTGTTAAGAATAAGAATCTCTTTGCTAATTAATGCCCTACAAAACGAATTGAAGTCCAGGATGCTTCACAACTTCATCAATACATAGTGAAAATAAATGTCTCACCAAATTTCAATAAAAAGAACAAATAAAATCTAATATACTAAACCGCTGAACTGTATAAAGTTTAAGCGATCTCTCTGATTGGTTCATGGACTACGTCGAGCAATTGAACATTTCACTGTCTTTATATCAATTTTGATTAAACTGATTTTGTATTAAAAACTGTTGGAATTTGAGCAAGGGGAAAGAAAGCATTTCGCTCAAGTCACTTTGGAGAACCAATCATAGCTCCATAGACAATATGGAGATTAAATCGGTTTGTTGAAATTGGTTTGGGTAATAATCCTTTAGATGAACATTGCAATTGGAGGTATTATTAGAATGTAAATTTCCTATGTCAAGTTATTATTTTTAATAATTCGATTTCGTAATTTGAAAGTGCCACTCCGCAAAAAAACTTTCTGCGGAACTATCTTAAAATATAATTTTACAGTCAAGATCCAATTATTGTAATCGTAATAACTATGCGAGATGAATGGTAATAGACAGTTTTTTTCTTATATCATTGCAAGACATGGTTTCT